AGTAAGAATCATATAATTCATATATATTATAAGTACAATAGTTTTACTTCTATGATTGTGTTTCACCAACAAAGTATGATCAGCTTGACTTTGAGAATACCCTTTTGATTACATAGTTTTAGCAAACCTTTTAAACCACTCTTAATAATTGCTTAAGCTCATTGAGAGATTTTTTGAGTTTGCATAATATATGCTTCTTGGAATTATTTTTGAGTCTTGGTGACATATCCATATACACACACTTCTTATTTCAAATCCTCATTCAAGAAGAGATTTTTTTATGTCAAATTGATGCAATCTCCATTCCTTGTTAACTGCTAGTGAAAGGAGAACTCTGATAGCATTAAGTATGGCAATTGGTGCGAAGGTCTCCTGATAGTTGATTCCATAGGCTTGAGTGAAACTTTTTGCAATAACTCTGACTTTGAATCTCTCAATACAATTAGGGTTGTAAACGAGTCGAGCTTGAGCGAGCTCAGGCTTGGCTTGTGTTCGAAATTGGCTCGTGAACAGTTTGTTCGTGTTCGGCTCGATTTAAATACTCGTGTTCATGTTCGACTCGTGTTCGGCTCGAAATTGGCTCGAAAAAATTAAATTGAAAAAAATAAATGTAAAGTGTGGGATTTGAACCTGGACCAAATATGTACAAAAAATGCACTAATCACATTACCATACGAGATGTTATGATTTAAATTTAGATATGATTATTTATAATATATTGTTATATAAATAATATATATAATATATTATTCTATTAATAATTATATATTTTTTTAATTTCGAGCTAAAATGAGCCGAACACGAGCGAACAAAGAGTTGTTCGTGTTCAGCTCGTTTATAATTTGAGTTTTAAAAACTTGTTTTTTAAAAACTTGTTTGTACTTAATGAACGAGTCGAACACGAGCTACTAACGAGCCGAACATGAGTTGTTCGCGAACAACGAGTTTTTTTGACAGCCCTAAATACCATATCAGCTTAGCATTTGATGTTGAACTCCCATTTGCATCCAACATAGTTCGTATTCATGAGGGAGTTGAGTAAGAATCTATGTATCATTATGCTTTAGTGCTTGAATCTAGTCTTCAACTGCTTTCTTCCATTTTGGATTTTCAAGAGCTTAATGAATTGATTTAAGAACATGCATACTATCAAGGTTAGGAACAAAAAGATTTGTAGGATGAGGATAGCTTCTCATAAGCTACATACTTTTGTACTAAATATCTAATGTAGCTTTTCTTGTCACCGGGATAAGAAGAGTAAAGGGATAACTCATGAGTATTAGATTCATCACCTGAAAATTCAGATAAATGTAAACTCAGATTTTGATTGGAATAATCTTGTCTTTGCAAGTTGTTTCCACCTGCTCAAGGATTTTCTTCCTCTTAGTGTACGCTCGTAGTTCTTTATTGTGGACTTCAGGTTTGGTTTGTTGGATATCCTCAACAAGAGTAGGAGAGCAGGTGTCATCAAGTGCATCCCAAATTTGATGTTCATTTGCACTCCCCCTTGAACATCAGATTTGAGCTCAGAGTGATTAAAAAAAATATGACTTCCATGGAGTTGTATTTTTGGGTAACTAAAAATAATATTTATACCCGTTTTTGTTGGAGGCATACCCAAAGAAAATATACTTAATAGATTTAGGATCAAGTTTGGTACGAGTTGGAAAATGGATGTGAACAAAAGATACACACCCAAGATTTAAGTGGGATATTAGAGTAGAAAGCTTTGATTTTTGGATAGGTAATCATCAAAACATAAAGTAGTGTTTTGAAGTATCCAGCTAGATATTCAATTGATAGGATATGTTGCAGTAAGGACGACTTTCCCCCCAAAAAAAAAGATTTGGAATTTGATGGAAAATTATAATTGAGTGATATTCCTCAAGTAAATGCATATTCTTTCTCTATGTTATCTTATTTTGTTATGGGATATGAATACATGAATTCATATTGATGATTTCTTTTTTTGAAAGGTAAGATCCAATGATGAAGTTAAAATATTTATTTGCATTTTTAGTTTTGAGAATTTGAATTTTGTATTATATTGAGTTTGATCATATCATGGAAGTTTAGAAATTTTGGGTTATTTCATATTTTTCTTTCTTTAGGAATACACAAGTCTTTCAAGTATGATCGTCAATAAGTAAGACAAATTATCTAGCCCCACTTTGGTTTTCACCTTTGAAGTTCCACAAATATCACTATGGATAATGAAAAGTGTAAGGGTTTATACTAAGTCATGGGGGTAACTATTTCTAGTGTGATTGACAAGTTTACATATGTCACATTGATAAAAATTAATTTTTTTTATATACATAATGTGGATACAAATTAGCAACATAATTAAAATTAAGATGGCCAAGATGACAATTTCATAACATAACCTTTTTTTCGATATACAGACAAAAAACTCAGAAATTTGAGGTACATGTAAAGGTGGAATCAGTTATGTGCTTAGAGAAAATTTTCTTGAGCGGTTATAAGTTTTAATGCATTTCAGTACTGTCAATCACTTTCTACGATTCCACCACCTGCAATTTACAAGAGTTTGTAAGGAATTTAGTTATACATTTCATCTCATGAGTATGCTTACTAATTGAAATCAAATTGTTGTTTTGTTGTAGAACATATAAAACAGAGAAAAGAGTAATATACTAAGAGAGCTTCGAATCTCCTTTCCCAAAAATGTTTTAAGTGTGATCCGTATGGAAGTCTTACCGATCTATATATTGAACATCTTGATAGTTGAATGGAGCATTAATGTCTCCAGTTATATAATTAGAGGCTTCTGAATTTATAATCAAGGTTTTAAATCTCTCATTTACTAACAAGATAGGAGAATGATATATTACTTTGGCGTGCTGCTCTGAGTTACCTCCAAGGAGTTTCCTTAGTAATTCAAGTCGTTCCTTGGTAAATGGTTTAGCTGATCCTTCGGATGTGGTAGCAACATTAACCTTTTTCTCTTCATCATTCATTTCCTATCTATGTTTCCAGTACATGGAGTTTCCAACATTTGCATTTGATATGCCCAATCTTTTTGCAATAAGTACATGTGGGATGATTCTTCTTAAGTTTTGAGTCATGGGTTTACAGGGCTGAACTCCAGTATTTGGTGAACCCCCATTTTTGGTGAGCATTGGCTTCTCCTGACTTCCGCAAAAGCTTCACAGGGGATGGAAGAGGTTTTGTTCCCATGATCCTCTCACCTCATCCAATTCCTGAGTTAGTCCTACTAGAAATTTGATGATCTATTCTTCTCGATGATAGATTTAAACGTCACGGCATCATGTGGCCATTTTCATACATGTGTATCAATCATATCCAATTATAGCCAATACTTTATCAGAGCGTTGAAGTATTGGGTGACACTTAGCTCTCCTTGATGAAGGTCATAAAGCTTGGTTTCGATCTCAAGCACTCTACAATGTTCTCAGTGCTGGAATATTTCTCTTGCAACCTCCCAAATTTCCTTGACAGTTTTGTATAGCAAAAAATTATTTCTCACTTCAGTGGTCATTGAGTTGACTAACCAAGAAAGGTAGTTATGGCCATTGATTATGATTTGTGATAAAGTCAGAGAGTTCAGGAGTCATTTGGACAGAATCTCTGGTCTCTAACTCAGAATTCACTTCCGGAGTAGAATTTGATGTCATCATCTCATATTTTGTCATCATCCCTAAGTGTATTTAGGGCTGCTTCTAGTTGCTAGTCTTAAATTGACTACATTTGTTTGCTGCTGCTGCTTCTTCTATTTCTGCTAGCTACCGTTGGTGCTGTCACTGCTTCTACTGCTGAAGGATGTTTACGTTGAAGGAGAAGGGCCTGCAGCAAGAAGACATCAGGCTGCAGAGAAAATCCGGTGGTGAAGGGGCCTGCAGCGTGGAGATTTTGCTGCAGGGGAAAAATTGAGGAAAGGCTTGTAGGGAGAAAATCTGGCTGAAGAAGGTCTGGCTGCCCTGCAGGGACGGAGGTATGACTCTGGAAGGAGGTCTGGCACTCGCTTGAAGGGATTCCAGCTTTGGCATGAAGGGAGTCAAGCAGTAGAAGGTTGTCTGACTAAGGCAGGAAGTAGTTCAGGATCTAGCAGGAAGGAGTCCGGTGCAGGAGGGGTTTCTGGCCCTAGCTGGAAGGAGTTCCGGTACTGCGAAGGAGTTCTGGCTGCACTGGTCAGGAGGTCCGGCAGCTAGGGTAGGTTTCTATGTCTCTGATACCATGTAGAATTTACATGGTGAGAAAGTTACTTAATTCATTATTCACAAATAGGACACATTTATATAGGAAACCAATCCCTCCTTATTACAAACCTACCAAATATATCTAACCTTAATTAAGAAAGGAAATAATCTTGAAAAAAAATAGAATAACATAAAATAGAAAGGGAATAAACTAATTAAATTTTTTTTCAAGCTGTCCAAATCAAATTCTCCAAGATTTGGAGGTGGTCGGCTGGCCCACACGAGAGATGGAATGAGAGAAAGAACTGGGTCTTTTCAGATTTTCACACTAACATCATTGGAAGTGCTTCAAAAGAATCTGGCCGAACTTTTAACACCAGTAATTTTTAGCATGAACTAATGGTATGTATAGCTCACTGTCCCGTATATCAACTAAATAACCATGTTGTTGGTAAATCTAAAATTTTCTAACTCTAACGTACATGCTTGTTTTCTTTTAAAATATGAATGTTTTGAATGTTTTTTAATCATGCCATCATCGTCGCAAACCTTGTTCAAATATCCTTTTAAATCTTGTATTCATGTGTTTAACCTCTACCATTGTCCGGGAAAACAAAAGAACTTATTATTCCTTCTGAATTTTGCTAGATCGGCTTATTGTTGTGTTTCACAGAAGTGCCAAACCAAGGTGTAGAACTTCTATGTTGACCAAAAACGACATTAAAAACCTTCAAGTTTATGCAAAAAATTGTACTTCCAATTTATTGGATGTAATGGTTTTTTGTTTACCGTTGTTTTTGCTGTAATTTTCTTAACTAGGAAGCAGAAGCTGAGAAATGTAATTCATGTGGGTCTATCTTTCACAAGGCATGCTTCATAGATCTTCTCGGATGCCCTTGCAGTAATCACTCAGCTATAAGCAAAAGGTATAGTCCCACAGAATCAATCACGAGGGAATCCCAGAGGGAACCTGTTGGATTTTCAGAGAGGTCTATTCAGCCCGTTCTTTCAAATTCAACAACAGGATTTTTCTCCAATCTTCTCACTAGAATCAAGTCAGATAAGTTATGGAAACCTAAAAACAGTAGCACGGTCATACTCATGGGTTCCTTACCGAGTTCTTCTTTGTAATTAATGTTTTAATCAAGGCTACATTGGCCGGAGCAAAATTGGTAATTGAATTTTGACTATTATACTATAGTTCTTTGTTTCAAGATGCAATTAGTTATACTGCAAATGTGTAAATTTTCAGAAGGGGCCTGAAATTTCCCCCATTTTTCTCCTCATATTAGCAGACTCCACTCCACTCATATTATTGATCATCTACTTGGGAATCTGGAGCAGTTGATTATATTTCTGTCCACTTTTGCCATGCTATTGTATTCTTCTGCACAGTATGTTATATAAGGCTTGGAGATCAACTATGAGAAAGGTTTTAGAAAAAGTGGTGAGTGGAACAATGTAAAACTGTTATTGTTTTTCATTTACATCAATATTTTGCTTGACTTGGCATTCTTGAAATGTAAATATTATTTAGCTATAGCCAAACTATTATTGCTTGGGCTGTTGATTATATTGGAGAAAATTGATTCCTAGCCTAACTGTAATAGGTCGTATTCTTCTTCTCTTTGGTTAATATGCATTTTTTTCCATGTGCATTTCTCTTTACATTATATAATCCTTTTCTTCTTTGTTTGGCTATGAGTATCTTATTTGTGACGTTAACTGCGTTTTAGTTTTTAAAACATGCCGCTCAAGTTGTCTTGAGAAATAAGAAATGTTAATAAACGTTACCTGTACATGAGTGGAAGCTATTTCATCAGGTCCATGGAGTAGTGGTTGTGTAAATGTTCATTTAGATGCAACAGAGGTGATGGTAAGATTTGTTTGCTTGTTATATTTAGCTGAGTACCTTTGAAGCTATTTCATCAGATCCATGGAGTAGTGGTTGTGTAAACTTTCATTTAATGTTTGGGTGTTTTTTTTTGTTTGCAAATTGTAATCTCTTATATTTTTAACAGCATCCACTCTTATGTTGGAAAACTAAAAAACAACTTTATTACAAAAGTTTCTTATTACAATAAGCTTATATCATAACCGCATGTTTGGTTTGTTAAAAAAGTAATGCAATGTAAAAGGAATGTTGTGGTAAAGTAATGTAATATATATTTGTAATACTTTAAAGTTGTTTTTTTCTATGTAAAATAAATGCACGACTTCACTTTTTTGGTTGGTTTGAAGAAAAATGAAATCAATGAAAAATGCATGGTCGGTGAGCGGCAGCAGGGGCCGAGTGAAGGGCAGTGGTCAACAGTTGTCAGTGGCAAGCGGTGGCCAAGGGCGGAGGAGCGGTGAAAGCGATCGTGGCGGTGGCGGCGAGAAGAGACGGTGGGATGGTGGAGGGCGGTGGCCAGCAATGGGTTGGCGAGCATCATGCGTCATTCTACACAAAACTGTGTATTTGGAATTCACCCAAATCCAACGAATTCCAAATAAATTAAAAATGAACTAAGAGAATGAGTTATAAATGCATTGTAATTTTACACTACATTTAGAATTCATCCGACCAAACACCAAAATTTCTAAAATTCCTACAAAAGGAATACAGTGCACTCCTTCTGCAGCAAACCGAACCCCAATTTGTTATGCTTTAATGTTGCTCACTCTTACTATTATTAAAATTACAAGGTTATATTTTTCTCTCGAAAATGCTTCTTGATTTTTGATAACTACATAAATATTGACAATTTAAGGACCAGAAGTGTACATTTCTCTTCTTTTATCTACACACACACACACACACACACACACACACACACACACACACACACACACACACACACGTAGTGTTATCTCTGGGCTTTGCGTGAGGTTGTTTTATCATTAGTTGGATGGTTGGTTAAGTTGAATCTTTCCTTTTACTAGTGTGGTTTCCTAGTTCCATTAGATTTTTTAAAAAAATTTATTTAGATTTATTATAATATTTGTGAAATGATATATTTTCTCAGTAGCTTGTCTAGGAGTGCTTGTATTTTGTTTAAATTTGTATGGTTTTCCTCTCATGATAGAAAGAATGACTAGATGCATATTTAATTTATACCTTGTATTAATGGTGTTAATTTTGGTCTCGTGTTGGCTTTGATGAGGAGTTTTTGGGCCTAGTAATGCAATGCAAGGTAGGTGACTTGTAAGGAGATGAACATGTTGTCTCCACGGGACCGTTTTTGTTGATATTATTTATAAGCTGACTATTAAAGTTAAATGAAATTAAATTGTTGTTGTTTTTTTTACTTTATTTGCTGTTACCACGTGATGCATATTGATAATTGTGAAGACTAGACAATGCATTCATTCCTTTGTATCATTAAAATGTGCATTGCTTCATAATTTCAACTTTCTATTATTGATAGATCATATTTAGAGACAATCAACTATTATTTGTCTTTTTATAGATTTTTTCTTAACATAGATCATAGATCATAGATCCTGACATCATAGATCATATAACTTGTGCTTTTTTATGTTTGGCTTGGTGTGTTTGGCTGTATGAAGGATTTAAGATTAGTAGGATTTAGTAAATCTGGATTTATTAAATCCACCCATTTGCTGGATTTATTAAATCCGTATTTAACATAAATTAAAAGTAAATTAAGGATCTTAAATCTAAAATTTCATAAATTCATAGAAATTGTGCTTTTTTTTATGTTTGACTGGATTTAGTAAGTCCGACGAACAAACCCTGTTATATGGTGCTATCAAACACCCCCTTAAAGTAAAGAAGGGCCATCATATATGAGTTTACCAATGCTTTAGTAAGGTAAGCCCTTTCAAGATTTAATAAAACTTTAATTGATGTAATTTTTGCATATATAGTCTGACGAGTCGATTCAAGTTTTATTCGCTGCGATGACTCTGAAGTTAACCTGATTTCAGAAACAAAAGTATTCTAAAAGTGACTCCTAGTAATATATAATTCTAGAATGATTGTGTGTGTAGATTTATTTCTTAATAATATAGCTTTGTAGATACATTCAAATATACATTATTCTTCTTATAACTCTTTCAGTCCACACTTGTGTTATTATTTTTATTTCTCTTTTGTGAAGAGCACTGGCATGTACTATAACTTGATGTATGATATAACTATTGTGATAGCTCTCTATTGTGTTACACAGTCTTAGTTGTTAACCATTATTATAATTGATGTAATACAACTAAGCCTCTCTGAGAATCTTGATTGAAGACTGTTTGAATCCTATTAGAGCAGTATTGGAACATCGCTTACACCTCCATTAAATCATTTTTTAATCTTGTTTGAATCATGTTCTAAACTTGTTCAAACCATTGTCAATTTTTATGCAAACTTTCTGTACTTCTTAGATCGATGTTATATTCATACTAACCATGCTCAAACACATGTTAATCCACGTTCATCTCTTACTCAATTTACAATCTTATATAAATTAATGGTGATAACCATTGACTATTAAAAATATTCCATGATTAAAAAATAAGTGATAAGGGAGGAGAAATGCCGAAACCACAAAATCAATTTTTATTAATGGAAAAAGATTACAACACACAAACTCGAAAAAACATTAAACAGACACCTGGAGAGTGTATACCAAAGGCGGTGGAGGTTGGTGGAAGGTGGGGTAGCAAGTCACGAAGGTGGGATTGCAACTGGGACGGCTGGCTGTTAAAAAAAGAGGAGGGTAAAGAGCGGGACAGCAAGGGAATAGGGTTGGCAAGGTGCAGCTGGGAGGTTAGATGTGGCTGAGAGGCTGGCGGCTAAGAAGTATGGAGAAAAAAGAGTTGGACAGCAAGTTGCTACAACAATGGGGTGGGTCAGCAGCGTTGAGGGAAGCTGTTGGGGATGGCCGGCGATTGAGGAAAGTAGAGGAGACGAAATAAGGAAAATAAAATGGGAAGATACAATCACCACCTCAGAGTAGAATACAGTTGGAGCATCACTACCTCCTCAGATACAACCCACAAAGAGGAAAAGGGCTTCCACATATGAAATTTGAAAACAAATACAGCAAAGGCCCCCTAAACTCAGAAAACAAGCATATAAATAAACATAGCTTTAGGACAAAAGAGATGAAAAACAACGAAAAGGAAGGAAAATGGCCAGGCCTGCCTCTCCCCAAATCTCGCTCGATCCAAGCGCAAGTTGCGAAAGGAAAGGCCGCACGGGCAGCTTGATGACGCTCAACCCTCTGGAGTCCTGGACTAGTCCCCTATGTCAGCTGGTTTAGTCGGCTGGCTTGCTTCCCACAATCGCACAGGAAACTCCAGTTCCCACACCCATGCAGGGAGAAAACCCTGTGTCAATAAGGGTATTTTGGTCCTTTAATTTGAAATGATTTTTTTCGATTATCTTTTTAAGAAAGTAAACATTCAAACTATTTCTCCAATTTTAGTTCTTATGTGGCATATAAAATCAAATTTCCTAAACTCATGATTTTTAGGATATAAATATCAAGTATTGTGAAAAGCATTTTTGTAATGTCCTTGCATCCATATGCTCACGAAACAAGTCCATTAACTTGATAAATATCAAATATTTCCTTTCCAACATGTTGATCCGGCTGGGAAAGTGGTGTTCGTTTAAAATATTTTTTTTTTCTTTTTCCAAATTTGGATTTGATTATCATAATTTTATAACTACAGAATTAGGATGGTTATATAAAAAACCTGTGTTTGGATTGCAGAAGCGAATCTTACAAATTTGACAATCATTTTTTATATAAAAATAAAATATTATCTCATTCACAAAGATTTTTTTTTTTTCTATCACACTAAATAAATAAATAAGTACATATATTGTTATAATAATAAGGATACTCTATAAATGGTAGCAGCCACTGGACCTGTAAATCAAACTTGTAATCTATTTGGAGTGGTTGCAATCTTTTAAAAAGGTGACTGCAAATTTGTGATGGAAAAAATAAATTCTTAGGAAATTATGGGGTAAATTATAAATATATATTTTTATCCAAAAAAATTTTTTTTTTTCTTATAGCCATCACAATGTAATAAATCATATTGAAAGAAGTAGTTTCTAACCACGGAATTTATAGAAAGCAGCAAAACAAAATTTCCCAAATAAAATTGTGATGACATTCTGAAACTTAAAGCAAGCCGAGAAATATACCAAACCAACCCCCGAGTCTTAAGAAAGTTCAAGTTTGGGTCCTAGATAATTAAAAGCTTAATTTCAAGGATCAGCTAACCTTGCTCAAGTATGTTGGGCATTACACCCATACCTTGGGATTGAGCAATATTCTCCATTTATTTAGAAAATCATGAGAAATGCTAAAGTTATGATTGTAAATCTAAATAGCCACATGAACTGCAAAATTATAATGTGTAATGAGAATTTCCAAGGGCAAGAAATTGCAAGCATTTTAAGATTCCAAGTAGTTGTAGCATTTTATAAATAATTAATTACATACTCCATATAATGAATAAAAGAAATTTGTATAGCGAAAAGTAGCCTCATGGAGGTCCAATCAACCCAACTAGAGCAGGGAAAAAGATGGACATTGGGTTATCGCAATTGAACAACAGGTTGAGTCGACCAACTGCATTAAGTAACCC